TATATATATATTTATGGATAATGCGTTCTTCTGTTGGGAAGATTGCTACCTTTGACCTCTACTATCAAGGGCTGGTGAAACTGAGAAATGAACTACATTGATGAAAAGTATATTTCATATGCTTGTGTTGGTTGATCAAAGAAAAAGGCACTAATCCAAATTCCAAACTAGTGGCGGCTGCATGCACTAAAATGGTGTATGCTATTAACCTTTCAATAGAATAATAGTTGAACAAGAACAAACCTTAATTTAGAACAGAAATATGTGGCTGTGCACATTAAAATATAACATCACACTACTTTTAAGCTCTCTGAGGAATTTCAAAAAAATGTTCTTATTCTCTGCTCGATCTTCTCCTTTATTGATTATATTGGATCATGCATGTATAGCAAAGTCCCAAATAAGGGGAATCACATAGTAAAGCAGAATGATGCATTGGTGCTCAAGAAATATGCCATGTTACCCATAAGTTATATGCTTGTGTGTGCCTACTGAACAAGTATGGGATCAACATATTCTTATGGTTCCTGATAAAAACTTGCAGGGAATCTGGCTAAAAATCCATGTTTTGCAATCACCTTGTTTAGAATATAAGAATCTTCCTGTCATATTTCTTCTGAAATCTTATGTCATGGAATTGCTAGTGGTGAAGTCTGTTGAGAGCACAAGTATCTGATGCTAACATAAAGTTCCTACACACAAGCATTAAAAAGAGATCTAGTAGCTCAAGTGGTTTGAGCACCTTGTTCACCTATATCAACATGTGTCCCCTGAAAGAGTATGCAATTCCAAGTTTCCAACAAACATGGGATTAAAATTCATTCCATTGCATATGTGCGTTTTTTAATTTTAATACGAACACAGAACTCTCCAATGTGGAACTCTGTAATATAAAAATGAAACTAGAGTATATGCAACACTCCCTTTCTTTCTCTTAATTATTTTTATGCGCAAATTATAATACATTCTTATGGATAAAGAAAGGCATACATGTATTTGTTTGTTAATGAGAAAGAAAAATAATTGGTTCTATGATAAGATTCTTGATAGCTCAATAACCTATCACAACAAATATTATTTATGCTTATCCTATATCCTATTTTCTTTGCTTTTAAAGGTAAGGAAAATGGTGTGAGATTTACTGCTTTATTAGAAATAAACTGACAAATCAGCTAGAAGGTAAATCTTATTATGATATTTTTATAATCTCTAAAGCACCTTTACAAAAGAAATCCTAGATGGGGCCAAGATTTACATATGGTTCTTGTAATTTCAAAAGGACTACATGGATTGGAGTAAAATACAAATTAAGTATTACAATTAACACTACTAGAAGTCAAGAATCACCACTAGGAGACTAGCAGAGCCAAATAATTCATGATTTCTTTTGGCCAACGGGTACAATGCTACATAGCTTGTTTGTTTGTTGTGTTAATAACTTCAGGGGAATCTTTTGAGACTGAATCAATTTCTATGGAAAAGATAGAAGCCCAAAGTGAAACACCAGTTTTCTACCCAAGCAATGCTGCCTTTAGATGTAAACTTTAACGCACTCTCGCAATTTTATAAAAAGGGTTTTGGCCGGTGTTTGATCAAGATATTTGCTCTGCATTCTGCATTCTTGTTATGGGTAAACTGGTTTCATTGGGAGTCAAACTAGCCACAAGTGAAAATACATTTTAAGTCAATACAACAAGTGAAGGAGATGTCAACAGCTTTCCACTCTATAAACACCAATGTAGTATAGCACGACCTGCTGGATTTGAACCAGCAACCAAAGGAATTTGCAGAGAGGAAAACCCATCACAAATCCTACGCTCTTCCAGTTGAGCTAAGGTCGTCTTAACAACGAGGTACTCTTCCTATTGAGCTCAGGCCTTGACAGGGTATGACTCTTGACTTCGTTCAATCAGCTGAAGAATGTTTGCATATAATTGTACTGCATAACACCCAAGTTAAACTATAAATTAATCTTCAATGTCTTGCTTGTGTGTTTTGCCATCCTTGTTTAAAATGTCTGACTCAAACATCAGCCAACATGTTAGAGCTCACTTGCTCAGGTAAGTCCCCACTTAATTTTTATGCATTTGCAACTGGTGATTTAGGAAAGAAAGTTAATTCACTGGAGATGGCCCACTTTGAAAACACAATATCCATGCATTGTAAAGTATACTTTGCGGGCTATGTCAGCACCAAATACAAAAATTACCATAGATGAGAAAGCCCAGAATTACATAGTTTGACTAATAAAGTTTCAAAGTGGAATGCATACTTCAAGATATCTTCTGCATGCATTTCATTGAACAAAATTCAGTCTAAAACCGTTTCTCTGTGACAGCAGCATACACATACCATCTTGTGGGGTTACTTATACTGTGACTGGCATGTCAACTTTGGGACCCACTCACTATTGGGTAATTTGGCATGCACGTTAGCTTCCAATGTCAATTTCAAAGCATATTATATGAGCTTTTTTTAGTGTCATTTATTTTATTGGCTAATAATCAAATGGCAAAAGACCACTACTAAATACTAATCAGTAACTGCCTGTACTCTGCTTCCTGAGATGGTCTAAAATCCATGCCTTAGTGTACCAACGCAAATGTACACCCACCAACTCTAATGACCCACAGTTCAGCAAAGACATCTCATTTGCATGCTTTCTTGTGATCCGATGAGATGGGCGAATTGCACAACATGGGAATAACAACAATTTATGTTTTGCTGCCGAAATATCCATTTGGAAATAGATTGTTATACCAAATTCAGTGAAGCTACGAGTCTTCTATTCCTCCCCTTCCTTTTTGTCCTTCCAATGTGAGGCACCCCCTCATTCTCACACTAAAAGGAACCAATTTCTTTGTAAAATTTATTGATTTCTCGGATTTTAGTTATTAAATTGGGTTATGAGATTAGTCATATGCTCAAAGTAAACAAAAAACTAATTGAACATACCCGAGTGGGGAAAATCAGAAATCACCTTGAGACCATCCTTGAAATTGAGAAGACAAATCTGATTGAAACATTCCTGCACGCCAAATACCAAAATGAATCCATTTCACAAACATAAATAATTGGAAGGAACATCTTAAACCAACACAAAATTTCAAAGACGGATATCATATTAAGATCAGCGTTACTGTATTTTGTCCCCATTAACCAAATTATTCAAAGAATATACTCGTGTAAACTTGAAGATTACTACCATCGCTACAACTGATCATCTTTAATTTTAAGAAGCTACATTATGGAAACAATATTTGCGGTGGACTCTATCTAGACACTCAAATACTTTTTAAAGCAAAACATCAAGTTTCTGCGCTCATATATGAGCCATCCTGAAGATAAAAGCTTGAATACAACAATTAAGTTTACTCACCAACCAGGTTCTCATCATAAACTGCTGAACATTTTGCACACACTGCTTAATTTTCTTGCTTAAATTCCTACCGGAACTTCATTAAAAAAAAAAGGAAATATTTTTACCAGCCAACAGAAATATTCATCCACACAATCTAATTTTAGTCAAAACTATGGGAGACTTGGCCATGCCTTTTTCAAATGAGCAACCACAAATGGTTAATGGCCAAATGCACCCAATCCAGAAGTAAAAACAACCACCAAACAAAAATATATATAGGCGACTGCAGCTTGATGAGTTCCATACATAATTTTTGCATAGCTAGTATATCAGATTCTGTAGAAGGAATTATCACATTGTTGCAACTCCATAGCCATAATCTTTACCGAAAAAAACTCCATACCCATAAAGAAAATATCAACCTTTTTGTCTATACTTCTATCCTGACTTCAACTACCATACACATGAAATGAAGATTCATAGAAGTAGAAGAAATAAAAATCAGGACAATGCCATTTAGAAAGAAACAACAGGGATACCTTAAGAAATAATTGATTAACTTAATATATTGATTGAATAAATGTTAACAGCGTGTGCCTGTACAGCGATTTGACATCCAAAGGCTCCATGGAAGGAAAAGAATAAACCTATGTACAGTTCTAAGAGGAGAAACTCAACTGCATCTGAGAGACAGCATCCATATTGAGGCGGATGAAGATTCAGCTTCCTGAACTCAATATGTATTCACAATCTCAAACTGAACCACAACCAATCTCATCAAATAGCTTTCCATTTCTGGAGAAATAATATATAACCTGATACACACCACCAAACCGGTGTCTTTTAGTTTTCCACATACAAGGCTACAGTAGTAATAACTAAAAAAATACTACTAAAACTTGAATATCTTAAGAACACGCAAACAAGACACCTAGCCAGAATCTTTTCTTCATATACAAAAAAAAAGTAATCTGTAAGATGAATATTTAGGCTAACGAAAAATCAAACTGTATGTGGGCCAAACATGGGTAGCTTGGAAAATACATCTAGGTGTTATTACTTCTTCCTTACATTCTATATAGCCGTTATGGGAAATACAGCAAGAAGCTGATGGGGTAGGAGCAAATGGTTAACCAAGGAGCACAGCTTAGTAACATTACTTTCAGGTCCCCTGCTCCCACCCTAAGAGCATTGTAAGAAATCTGAGAGAATCACTAGACAGCTTTTTGTGGAAAGACACTGAAATCAATTTTTCACAGCCTCTTAAAGACTTGCAGGAAACTTGAATGGTTCACTACACAACTTTTAGCAAAGAGTTATAGACGGTACCAACAAGTACGATACCTACAAGTACCATCAGGGTTAAGTAGGAGATAATCTATTTTAACTAATAAGAACAAGGCTCTGGGTATCAGATAATTCGTAAGTTTACTACGCAGAAAGACTTTATGTGGAAAGACACTGACAACATTTTCTCCCAGCCTCTTTAAGATTTGCAGGAAACTTGAAAGGTTCGCTAGAAAACTTTTAGCAAAAAGGTATAGACGATACCAACAAGTACCATAACCACTAGTACCATCAGGGTTACTGAGAGGATCTGTTCTATAACTTTTAACAATAAGAACAAGGCTCTGGGTATCAGATAATCCGTAAGTAAACTATTAGTCTCGTAGTCAACTGGGAAGGCGGTGGTAAAACAACATTGTATTAAAATAGTGTGAAAGGTCCACACTAAACCCATCGTACAACTACATCAGTTTACATGAAAATTGATATCCTCCCATCTCATGAAGGTCTAAAGAAGATCCAACTCTGAGCAACTAATCTGACCCATAGATCTGTTTGTGCGCTAATAAACTCTACGGTCCTACTGATAAAACATCCAAATCGAAAAGAACTCTTTGGTTTCTTAGCCACACTCCCCAACATAAGGCGAGACCATCACCTCATTCCTTCTAATATGTCATTTGCTCTTATTCCCAGAGTTTAGCAACCAAGCATGTGAGATAATAATCAGGCTACCTTTGTCCTCTGATTGTAATTTTACGGACACGTAAGACCGTTAGCTGAAAAATGCGTGTACAGTAATAACCCATAATAATCAGACCCCCCCATCACTTTTACTTGATAATAACCCATAAGTGTAAACAAGGCAATAATAGTACACCAGAGAATCATCAGATTTCTTCCAGCAACAAACGTATTAGAAACATCAGCATATGTTCTCTTCCAGCAATAACAGATAATATTATTATGAATTCTCTTCTACATTGTAAACTTAAAAATTTCAAACAATGCTTTTTGTGAAAAGATAACGCTATCAACTTGTTGTGATCAAGAAGAATTACAACTCAAGCCAATTTATAATTTTATAAATTGAATTCACGTCACATACATTTCGCTGTTTGTCAGACCCGTATCCATATTCCGATCCTGTGGCAGGTATGGTGGTGTTACTTTTGTTATGGCCATCATGAGAGAATTAGTTTGCTTCCATAGTGTTGACATGCTCCTAGCCTCTTGGTTTTTAACACTTTCGAATCTGGTTTGATATTTTTGTGTAGGGTAATTTGCATATAGATCGACCTAATATTAAGATCTATGTTCCACAAGATGCACACTGATATAATTTTAGATATAAAACCCCAATATTTTGAAAATAGTTGGAAGCATTGGCAACAACGTCTTCACAGCTCATTTAATTACTTTGGCTAAGAGTTGCACAATTGATAGAACTGAGAAACAGATCAGATAATGCAAATCGGTAGAGCTGATTCAAACCATTTGTAACAGAAAAAAGCCTAGGGGAAAAAAATTCCACATGGTACACATATCCGCAGGATTAAGAAGCCTAGATTTTAAAGCTAAAGATTTAATAGATATCTGATTAGCTTCAAGATAACTTCAGACAACCTTGATAAAAAGATGAAAAGACAGCTTGCAAGACTGATAATCCGAAATGCTACCCTGACCCACGACCCGAACAACTAAACAACTGAATTGGCTTTCAAAGGAGATAACGGGGAGAATTCCTAATTTCTTCAAATACCACTCAAACCTCTCTGTGTCTTCATAGCTTCCCATAATCCCATTCAAACCATTTTGCAACCTTCTCACTCACTTCGACAACTCCAACATACGCCACAACTGCTAAAACCAACTCACTACCTCTTATCTCCACATAGAAAGTTTGAAGTGCCCACACGAAGACCTTTATCTGCTTAACATATTTACTAATATTACTAAAAGCTCTAAGGAAAATGTTCCATTACATTCTAAAGTTTCGGAAACCAGCAGTCCTCATATAAGCCGCGTCTAACTTCTAACTCTCTCAGACAACATAGCAGTGGTACTTCATATTAATGCACTATATTATTCATATCTAAAGCTAGAACAGTAAGAACTATATTCTGGGTACAAATATTTTCAGAACAAGATTAACACACCATGCCAACACTTAGAAAGAACGAAAGACAATAA